CCAGAACTACTGGGAGCAGAACAATCGGGGGAAGGTGTACAGACGAAGCCTCTGCCACAGGTACAGGTGAGGCATCTATTCCCCGGGCCTCGGCCCCTGCCTCGACAGGATGTCTGCCCCCACATATATAAAAGACCACTGCTGTGTTGTTGGTGCGCACCAACACATTGTGATCTCTTAGGCCTGGGAGGAAGTGTTTCAAAGCTAGAAACACGGCCAGCATCCCCAGTCAACTTATGTGCCACGTGAGATGGTGGCCGCTCCACAGGCCGCGGGCTGAGCAACCACTCATGACCGCTCCCAACTGGTGAAAGATGCATCCCTTCGCTAGCATATGCGGCGACCAGGAGCTCCCAACACCAGGCCCAGACATAAGAACCAAGGTTTCCTAATATCAACCAATCGTCGATGTGGTTGAGTCGTGAAAGTGTGGGGTGAGAGTGCAAGGCCAAAGGAAGAACTCGGTGTTGGTAAGCTTTTGCCCCCAAAAGCAAACCTCAGGAACTTCCTGTGATGAGGAAGGATGGAGACGTGCATCTTTTAGATCGATCGTGCCAAACCAGTCCTCTGACTTGATCTGAGACATGACTTGTTTGAATGAGAGCGTGCTGAACTTCAGTCGCCTGACTGACCGGTTCAAATGATGCAGATCTAAATAGGACGCCACCCTCCATCCTTCCTCGGAACAATGAAGTACAGACTGTAGAACCCGCACTCTGCTACGTGAGGAGGGACCACCTCGATGGCCTCCTTCCTCAAAAGAGTAACTACTTCTGTTCCATGACCAGAGCCTGCTCGGGACCCACCATAGTGGTAACTGAGAGAAGCGCTCGGCGGAGACCGCTGTACCCTGGAACACCGGCAGTGTTGGCAGACTGATCTCCTGAGGGCACTGAGGAGAGACGGGCACCGTGTGATGCAGTGTGCACCGCTCTTCCCCAGAGGGGCCTGCCCTCCGAGGTCCTGAGCCATAGCATATACAGTAGACCCTCATAGTTGAAGTCTTCTCTAAAAATGACGGTCCTCAGACCCGCGTCATCTGCTAGGAAGACTCGACTGATAGAACCAGAGCCTGCTCAGGGCAGGACCCAAGGAGGCACGCTTGGCAGGGGCTCCCACACCACCAGGTGACATACTAAGGGAACCAGTCTCACGAGACTGGCCTCTGGTGCTCTTAGAGCGGCTAGCTCGGTGCTCTGAAGCGGCGAACCAGCAGGGTACGGCCGTACTAGCTGCTCTAGAGACCTCCGTGGAGGTCGCGAGTCTCTTAGCACCGCTACATTTCCGGGCGGTAACTGAGTAAAGCGCTCGCCGGAGACCGCTGCGCCCTGGAATGCCGGCAGGGTTGGCATACCGATCTCCTGAGGGCACTGAGGAGAGACGGGCACCGTGTAATGCGGTGTACACCGCTCTTTCCCAGAGGGAGCTAGCCCTCAGAAGTTCTATAGGCCTTAGGCGTCAGGACATTTTAGACGGAGACTATCCAGCGAGAATGACGGTCCGCAGAACTGCCTTCTGCTATAAGCCTTCGGCTTGGGAGATTTTTATCCCAAGAGCCCCTGTATATCTGATGCCGGTTTCACTGCACGTGCTTTTATGCTTCCTGGTCGCTACGTCACCCCGCCCGTGACGTCTCGCCCATCCATTAGACTGATTACACATGTGATTCAGAGCGTGGTCACGCTGGAGGCGTTCCCATAGCGTTTCGACGCAGCTCGAGTTCCTGAAGGGGAACTGAGTTGTCATGCTTCCCAGCTGAGATCATGCACAGTCAATAAGATTGCAAACGTGCTTGACTTTAATTATATAGTTATAAAAGCCATAAATAAAAGCATTTATTAGCAATAAACAACAGCCTGCACTCATTTGTTTAACTGCCTTTCTTTGTTAAAGAAATCAGATGACTCCCATTTCTCCAAGGATAAATGAAGCACAACAGGAGGAGCTGCTCCCTAGCATATTTTTCTAATGCCATAAATTAAAACAAAGCTTCCCCTAAAACTCGTTCAGTGATTTATCTTGAAAGATATTCAGAATGTTTCAAGTGTTTTTTTTCTCTGTCATCAGTATTATGAAAGTGTCTTGTCATGACTCCCAACCCTAGCTGTCCTCACCTGTATTACATCATGAGTCTAAATATATATCCCATATGTTTATCTTAGCCTTTGCCTGCTGTTGAATGTGTAACCTAAGCCTTTTTACGTGCATTTTGCTTTATAGTAATACTCATAATCAAATACTCTTTGTTGTTTAAAGACATTACTGAATGTGGGGTATAAAACTTTAAAATGATAGTGAAATTGTTATTTATTTGATATATTAAATAACTATAAAGATGTATTTAATATTATTCAACAAGTGTAATGTGTGCTGCATAATGTGTGTGTGACCACACTAGTTACAGTAAATAACAGATATAATGACAGCAACAAACTGTAAATACTGTAATTGCAAATACGTGACACCCTTTTTGTTTTATTTTCAAAGTATTTGTACATGATCTTTAGGTGTAAATCAGTGAAGCAGTACCAAGCATGTTCACCCTGTTTGATCATGGATCATTGCAATAGAAGAAGAAATCTGTGCGTCATTGCCTCAGTGCTTGGGTTTAAGAAAATATTCCAGGTGTGGCAAGTTATGTTTATTTGTGGCATAATGTTGATTACCATAAAGATTTAGACTTGTCCACCCTTCTTTAAAAATGAGTTATAATGAGTCATTTACAGTACAGTTGAAGTGAATGTGGCCAATCCATAAGTATTGAAATACTAACCTTTTCTGTGCAGTTTTATCCTATTTTTACAACATGATTTTATTAAATTATAAGCTTTACATTTCTGGTTTTAAGTTCTCCAAAAACTAGCCCTGTCAAAATACAGTAAAAGAGTATTATTGTGAAATATTATTGCACTTACAATACAATAACAGTTTTCTATTTGAATTTATTTTAAAATTTGACTTTTGATTCACTTTAACCAATGTTATGCATCCCTGCTGAATAAAGGAATTAATAACTTTCAATAAATAAATAGCCCCAATATTGTAGTGCACGTCTAGAGCACTTAATGTATACAGTGACAGTTTCAGTGAGTCAGAGTAACAGTCATGTTTTCAGTCAAATCACGTGGATCCTAGTTTCAAAGTAGCTTTTATCACTTTTCTCTTTTGTTGATACAATAAATTGCTGATTATACATTCTTAATCTCACTGTGTTTTAAGCTTTGTGTTTCAGCACAAATAGCCAATGAAAGCGGTGATGTAACCTATCTTTTGCCTTCATTATATTCTGCTCTAATTTTCTAATTCATTGTTTGGTTTATATTGCATTACATAATTTAATAAAGCAAGGTTGTCTCACGTTTTTCATACATAGATATGTGTTCACAAAGAGTGTTCATGGTCAAACATACTGTACAAGCAAGATATCAATATAAGGAAGGTAAAATAAATTCTAAGAAATCTTTCCTTGACCAGAGGCGTATTCATGGTGAGTGTGATGAAAAGAAGCTCAGCGACAGTGGATGACTGAACAGTGTTACCTGTGGTTGAGAGAGATGTTGAATTGCATCTGCCTTTTCTGCCTTGTCATTCTCTCTTTGTGAGGTGTCAGTGGAGCACTTCCTGTTCAGTGTTGATGAACAGATGATCACATGATGATGAACACGTCTTTCAGCTGAGCACTGCTATGCTGGAGCATGTTTTCATGCTTACAGTGATTCTGAAAAAAGGTCACAAAGATTGCAAGTAGCAGAGATTTCATGTTAAAGGGTTAGTTCACCCCAAAATTAAAATTCTGTCATTAATTACTCATCCTCATGTCGTTCCAAACCCGTAAGACCTTCGTTCATCTTCGGAACACAAATGAAGATATTTTTGATGAAATGTGAGAGCTCTTAGACCCTGCATAGACAGCAACGCAACTGTAATTTTCCCAGGTCCAGAAACGTAGTAAGGACATCGGTAAAACAGTCCATTTGACATCAGTGGCTCAACAGTTTTGGGAAGCTACGAGAATACTTTTTGAGCACAAAGAAAACTAAAATAACATAATTTTTCAACAATTCTTCTCCCCCGAGTTACGTCTTCCGCCATTTTAGAGAGTATCACAATGCATACGCACACTTTCCCCTAAGCGTAAACAAAGCTGACTACGCAGATTACGTCCATGCGCGCGTTTTCCAAAACTGCATTAATTTGATCAAAAAAGACAGTAAAATCTGTAATATTTTAAAATATTGTCATAATTTAAAATAACTGTTTTCTAATTTAATTTATTTAAAAATGTAATTATTCCTATGATGGCAAATTTCAAACTTCCGTTCAACTTTTCAGTTAACGTTCTTTATTGTTTAATTAGCCCTATTGTTTCATTGTGAAACACTTGAGTTATTAAACATTATTATAATGTTAGACAGAACTAGGTGTTTGAAACCAACAAAACCACAAATATAAAAAGTACTAAGTAACACAAATATTATGTAATTATAATATTATAGCTGTACAGCCACTTTGAATGATTGTGATCTACAATATGGTTGCAGTGATTGAAGTTTAACATCTTTTGAAAGTCTCTGATAAATCAAGCAACTTTTAGTCCAACTGGTCATCCATATTCATCCAATATAACTATTTTTATCTCAAAGCATTAACTGTTTGCACATATGAGGGTGGAGTGAACACAGTGTTGTAGTAAATTGCCATTGTTTTATGATATTCATTAGGTCTGTCTATTGCACAGCAGTGATTCGCTTTTAATAACATTCCAACAAGGAAGTTATTTTGATGCGAGACTATTTTATGCTTGTTGTTTCCACGTGAGCCAGAGGGGAGGTGAGGGTAGAGCATCCAGGGCTCAAACTGGTCGGGCAGGTAGATATGACACTGGCATTCCTCCAGTGAGACTAAAAGAGGGAGGATAAGAGGGCAGTCCTAACTATGTCTTGAAAAGCAATTCAGAAATAGAAAAGTGGGTCTCATTTTTCCTTTGGGATTGTAGAGACAGGTTGAAATCCCGCCCACCCTAATACATATTGGATCTAACCAAAGTCCACACTCCTGTATCTAATGGCAGACAATGACCCGGTAAGACAGAATCACAGAATTTTGGCTGCAAAGTGAAAGCTTTAAATTTTATTTGACCTAGTATGTTTTTTTTAATGCATGTGTGACATGTTAAAGTTCTGAATTGTGTGGTCTATTTCAATGGTTTATATAAATGCATTTGTATGAGTCTGGCTTGCATGTATCGTAGGGGTCTCAAACACTCAAGAGATACTTGAGCTGGTTTTGCTTTGTTAAAACACTGAAACAGAAATTACGACTTAAAAAAAAGGCCAGTCAAGTAACTGAAATAATTAAGTGTACTTAACCTCATGATTTTAGATATTACGCGTTAATAAAGTAGCAACAGGTGATACTAAAGGCTTTTAGTTTTGTAAAGTGGGACTTTTTAAACATGCATTAATTATGCATGTTGCATTAACTAATTGTTTTCATACATTTTCCTCCTTCATTTTTAGGCCTATTTATTGAGCAAAAATTATTTGAGTTATTAATGACCTGCATGTATTATCTAACATACCATTGTAAACTGACTTATAATAAGAGGGTATATATTGATATATTATATAATAGTAACAATTTACCATAAAGTTATATTTGTTAACACTAGTTAACTATAATATTAGTTAACATAAAATAACAATTAACAATACTTTAAAATAATTTATTAATCTTAGTGTTAAATCCAACATTTACTAATATTTTATTCAAATCAGTTCCTTAATAGATCTGAAATAAATGAAAAATATATGAACTTACATTAACAAAGGTGAATATACACTGCAAATGTGTTGCTCATTGTTAGTTAATGCATTAACCGATATTAACTAATTGAACTTTTGTATTGAAAATGTCTAGGTTACTTGTGTAACCTTCAGGGAACGGAGACGTTACGTCAGTCGTGACTGACGAATTGGGATCTCGCCCGAGAGCCCAATCACCTTCGAGTGTTAACTAAACAAGCCAATGACAGTTGGCGTGCGTGTTTCTCCACGCGCACCCCGCTGCGCAGCGCGGGTATAAAAGGAGAGCGCGTGCAAATGCACATCAGTTTTTCGCTGAGGAGCCGAGACTACGTGCCCCGGCCGTACAGCGGTGGTACAGCAACTGTGGCGACGGAACGTAACGTCTCCGTTCCCTCCTTCAGGGAACGAGGGTTACACAAGTAACCTAGACATTCCCTTTCAGTCAGTCACGTTCTACGTTACGTCAGTCGTGACTGACGAATTGGCATCCGTATGGAAAACGCCACTATTGCTGACCCCCTCCAGTGCCCTGCGGAAGCCGGCAAGTCCCCCCACACCAGCTGGGGCGGAAGATAGGACAGTGGCTAGGCAGAGGGGGCCGCCACTGCTGTTCCATACAGTGGTACATTGGATAACACTGGGAAAGTGTACCCAGTTGGGACGCTACGGAAGCCACATCCCACACATAGGAGGTATCATGTGGAATTACACATATGGACTGGCCCCCGGGCAGTACTACATATGGAAGTCCCTGCGGTAGACTCAACCCGCCAGGGCTGAGATAACTACGCAGCAGAGATGGCAGTGAACAACTGCCAGGGAAAGACACGGGCTTACCGTGAGGGGAGCCGTACCGTGGAAGGGCGCCGGGCGAATTAAATCGCTTAGCCGAGTCTGATGGTTCTCACAAGCCAGCGAGACGGCCTGGGGAGCGCTAACCAGGCCCCCAGCGACCGAACTAGCGGGACCAGGGAGACAACCGACATACCCGCAGTGGGGCAGAGAAGTGGAACACAGGCACCCAACCCGGGAGGCCGCGCGTCCCAGGGTGGGGTCTGAGTGCGCGGCGCACCACTTACCTGGCTCCACGGCTGGGCAGGGGGCTCGTGAGGAGGCATAGCGTCCTTGAACTGAACCCTGCTGCCCATTAGAGGGGGACGGCCGTGTGGAGACTGGGTCTCGTGCACCGCCGTCCTCGCCCTCTTGGGACCCGGAGGCAAAGGAAACTGCTCTTTTATTGAAGTTTTGGGTACCACTGGCTGGGTAGCCAGTGGCGGAACAAAAACAAACGGGAACATAAGATTCTCCACCCGGCCCTCCTCCGGGGGAAGGAGTGGTGCAGTCACCATCTCCTGAAGAGCAGGATCCCAGAGCACCGGGTCGCCCGTCTCAGGGACGCCACCTGCTCAGGCACTTCACGGGCTTGGCAGGGGCGGAGGCGGGCTGCGCCGGTTTCCTGCGGCCAGCTCCACGCTGCGGCCGTTGTGAAGGCTGCTGTTGTGGCCGCGCCGGAGCGGAGGTAGAGGCCGCAGGAGGGCGCCCTCGTCGACTAGCAGACAGAAGGGCTGCAGCTGGCGGTGGGGTGCAGACAGCAGCAGACCGCCGGGGCAGGATGTGTCGAAACGCCTCCATCTGCTTCCTTAGTAACCTCCTCATGCACTTCCGGGAAGAATGGAACCGGAGGCGGCTGCCGACGCCCGGCCTGTGCCCCCAGGAACCAATCATCCAGCTCTCACCGTAACCCTCAGGTCTCCCTGACCATGAACCGAAGTAGCCCTCCGAGAACCAGAGGAGCTAGAGCGGGGCATGGCAAGGGGGACACCCCCCCGTTTAATGAGGAGGTATCTAGACCGCAACGTCGCGATGGTCATGTTCCCGCACTGAGAACATGACTCATCCATGAGCGCTGCTTCAGCATGCTGTAAGCCCAAGCACGAGAGGCAGTGATCATGACCATCAGATGGAGGCAGGAAACGACCACATCCAGAAACGCACAAGCGGGAAACGCACGAGCACGATCTTTAAAAAGACGCCCGTCGCTCGTGAAGCTCTTTTAGAAATTGCTCTTTTAGAAGGAAACACTCTTTTAGAGAGAGCGCTGAAGCGCCCAGGGGAGGTCGCGGCGAGACCGCAGAATGGCAGCTGCAGCACGCCGAAGATGAGCAGCACTGAATGGCAACCCCCGCTGACGCGCCGTAACACCAACGCCAGCTGTTTCTTCCAAACACTCGCGGAGATTCGTC